TAAAATTTTATTTAATTTAAATTATTATTTATAAAATTATAAATATAATTCTAATTCTAATTTTTTTCTTAATGCACTATATATATATATTTGAATAAACTATTTATTATTTTATTTAATTATTCTATTTTACTATTTTATTATTTTATTATTATTTATTTATTTTATATTACAAATAAAATATTGAATACAAAACTTCTATTATAGTTATTATATTAACAGCCTCTATAATAAATATAAGTTAAATATAACCTATTGCAATATAAACTAACAATAAAAATTGATATCTTATAACTGGATCTTTATAATTAGTGCTAAACAAATAATACTGATTCAAAATAATAAAATTAAAAACAAATATCAAAATATTATTGTGGATGTGGTTTTATGGCTATATAAAATATTTAAAATATTTAAAAAGTAATTATTATTATTATTGGATGTTTAATTAGAATTGTATGTTACTTATTATTATTTTTTAATAGTATTAATAGATTTGAGAATTTTTTCTTTATAATAAAAAAGCATGATTTTTTTTAAAATACAAAATTCCAAATATTTCTTTGATAAGGCTTTAAAAAAATATTATTATTTATAACTTTGAAAATGTAACGTTTGTATAGATCTTTGGATTTAAAGGTGGTAATATTAAATCCATTTTATTATTGTTAAGTTAATTTTATTGCCTTAATCAAAAGAATTCGTTTATTGGAGGGCTATTATTTCCAACAGAAAAATAAAATCGTGAGACCATTCGTTTCCTGTATATTTATAATATTATGAACTTGCAATAAATAATTTTATTAGATATCGTTTTCGTGTATATGTTATTTCCTGTACTCAAATAATGTAACGCTAGGTTTCACCGATAACTTACAAATACCATCATGGACGTTTTAAAAAGTCTAATCATTGCTTAATTACCTTCTTTCTGGCATGTACAACTTTACGCCATCATGTTTTTGGAATTTTCTTGAATTTTCGATAACGAACAATGCTTTTATTATATAAATAGCTAGACGTCTGTAATCTTTTAATATAAATCAAGAAAATGACTTTATTAACATCTCTTCCTGATTTCGAGAAATTCGTAGAAATCTTCACCGGCCTATATCGAGCAACATTCGGTTTTCGTTTCGGTTTACTCATTGTACCTGATTCCGTATTCCTCGTGCATATTCCTAATTCCAAGAATTGGGTTCTTGTTGATGCTGCCGACCCAGGAAATTCGCAAAAAGTATTATCCGCCATCTCGGTGCATTTCGCCTCGTTTCCCGGCCACAATCTTAAATATATCGCAATAACCCACGGTCATTTTGATCACACTGGTGCAATTCCAAGATTATTGGAAGAATATAAAGATTTAAAGGTTATTTTGAACCAATTGGAACTTCCCTTCATTGCGGACGGTATAAAGTACCGTGAACTAAGTGGGGATACATGTCTATATCAAGTTTACAGACCATTTCTCCATGAAAGTAAAGTGATTGTAAGCAGAGATAGAATTTTAGCCTTGGAAAAAGGGAAAGAAAATGAATTCGAATTCTTCGAAACATTAAAACCAATTTGCACATTTGGTCACACGCCTGGTATATAGTAATTAATATTTTTTAATTTTCTTCTGCAGTAGATTTAATGTATGGCTAAACTTGCGAAACAAACGTTAGGATCAATGTCATACCTCCATCGTCCATCGAATTCAATTTTAGTCGGCGATTGTATAATGAACATCTCTTTCCTTCCGTGTCTTTCCCCTTCAATTCAATTACCACTTTTAGTTGCTACACAAAACATGAAGAATGCCAAAGGATCCATTAAGGAAGTTGCAGACATGGAAGGTGTGGATTACGTATTTCCCGCTCACGATATGAGTAAAAAGGGCCTTGATATTGCATCTGTAAGATCATTCGCCAAATCCTTAAACCCATGACCCAAGATCTTCGAATTTAGCTACTAGTATTAGTATTAGGAAAAATCCTATATTTGATTATGGTTATTACTTTTCTTAGTATATCGATTCTTATCTTTGCGAATATTGTAAAAATAATGATAATGGGATGTTATACGATAATGCAATTTGTTTTGCAACTAGGTAAAGACAAAAGTTTAACGTCGTTATAGTGTCAAAATTTAACATTGTGTAAATTGAAATAAATATTAAAATTTATAAAACTTCATAATTGTGATTGAAGTTTTTTATTGTTTAAAAAAAGTAGACAGGTATTATTTTCTGTTTATTTGTATATTGCAGAATGTACAATATATTTTAAGAAAATATCTCTTATATACAGTCTGGGACAAAAAAAACACTGTTATGGTGAAATACAGTGAATCTGTCACTTCTGTTCTGTCTACACTGTACTATGTTGGAGAATGATTTCTCCTCAAAAGAGATGTGTATATTTGGCTCAAGTTTAACAATAACGCAGGTCAATCCGTTGATTGTGCATTGTAACTGCCAACCTCTTGCGTGGTCACTCCTTTGTTTAGTGACACTCTTAATATAGATAGTCTTTTTAGTACGCAGTGCCTATTCTTCTTGATTGCCATATTTTTATATCATCATCTTATTTTTATACTTTTTATGCCTGATATAATTTAGTCAGCTTTGGACT